GGAATTGGCAGTGCACACATTACTGTTTTGTGGTCGCTCCCTGGAAACTCAGAACCTACTAGCGTTGAAAGGGGGCTTATATTGTGGCAGAAGATTAAGTCTAGTACGTTGTTACCTCTTGTGGGAGTAGTGACAGTTTGTTTCCAGCCAAGTATATCCAGTGTGTCTAAGAACTTATCAAATTTAGTTGGACCTGTGGGTATATCCCAGTTGATTTCAGGTAAGTTAAAGTCCCCACATAGGATCTTATGATCGTATTGTAAGTCGGTTAATTGCTCCAGAGTATTAATAAGTTGGGTCTCGTAATTACTAAAGGTGCCAGGTGCTCTGTAGGAGCATCCAATTAATGCTGTTACGTTATTTAAGTGTACATTAACCCATAGAGTCTCAGGCATGTTAAGTGTACTACTTTCTAGCTGTGATACAGTAAGTGCATTCAGAAAGTACATGAGACAACCCCCTCCCTTACCACCTTCCCTGTCACACCGAAAGTGTGTGTAGTTATCTAAGCTTATTTCTTCATCCAGGATGTCCGAATGACACCAAGATTCAGTGATGACAATTACAGGGGGTTTGTATATTACTGTGAGTGCTCTGAGCATCGGCAATTTATTTAGAACAGATCTAGCATTTATGAGGATTACGTAAAGATGAGAGTTGAAGTAGCATTTGAAGTATTTAAGTTCGTTAGTCAGCCCCGAATATGGTTCAGCACCCAGTAGTTCTGCTGGACATGACGATCCTATGTTAAGAGGAGTTCCAGCATCATGCTCACCTATGTCTATCGAGTTGTTGTGTGCTGTTTTCGGTGGAGAATTAGGAGTTGGAGTACTGGATTTGCTATAGACTAAGGAACTTTTATTTTTAGTTAGGTTACAGAAGTGGGTAGGGTTCTTTATTTGGCCTATACTTGTGCAAGTGTCAAGTGTGTCCAATGGATACGGGTGCACTAGACCGTTCCTGTTTTCATGCAAGGAGGGAGCCAGCACTAGTGGTTTAGGAGTGTTAACATCCCTACCAGCTGTTTTTTCAACGCTGACAGGGACGCGGGGGATAAAAAATGATTGGATCCTTGTGATGACCATGGCTTATTATTCCACCTATTGTTTGATGCTAGTTGTGTCCTTGTGTGGGTTTCGTGTGTACTGCATTGTGGGTTAGTTCCCAGCAGACTTGTACCATATATCCGGTCGAAATTTGTTTGTGTGCCATACTCTGAAGACCCTGAGTTGTTGGTAGCCGAGTTCTGACTATTACCACTTGTACTATTTAGGGTGACATCGTTGTGACATTGGATATTAGTGTGTGCCACGGTGCGATTTAGCACGTTGTGAGTGCTAATACTATTAACCGTGGGGAGTGTGGGCTTATTTAAGCTGCCACTGTTTTTGTTGGTATGATTTAGGGGCATATTTTCCTTATCTTTACCAATGGAATTATAGCTAGGAGAGGACAAAGTCGAATTTCGGGGGGTTTTAACTTTTTTTCTGGGGTTATTTAGTGGCATTTTAGATTCTGCGGTGATGGGTGGTATGGTTTTATTATTTATTTGGTTACAGTCTAGTGGCCTTTCGGCTGGTGTTGCACTCTGATGGGATATTTCTGTGTGTTTTGAGAGGGGTGATGCGGTGGGGTCTACTGTATCTTTCACAGGGTTGGGAATAATGGCTGCTTGCAATGTCCTATTACCTATTTCACAATTAGTCTTAGTGAGATAGTTGTGTGCGCGCCTTTCTATAACTGTTTTGTCCACCCCGACCTTTATATGTTTGTAGTTTCTGGCTTGCGATAGGGTGTGTTGGGAGTGAATGAATTTTCTGGTCTCTGCCGGTGTTTCGAACTGAAAACGAATAGGACAACACTTTTCATGTTGACTCTTCTTCAGCCTGTAGCACTTAGTCTTGGAGTTAGGCATTTTCGCTTCACTAAGTAAGATGCGCTGTACCTTTTTTAGTGCCTCATTGTCCGGAACGTTGTAGACAATAGCACTCAGTTTTGCGTCGAGTCGTTTTGTTACTTCTGTGGTAACAAAGTTAATGAGGTTATCTACCTTAGTTACCGATTCTGTGTCAAGCTTGTTAAGGTTTACCGTTTTCATGAGGATAGTTAGAGGTGTCAGTTCACAGACCTGCGATCTGATATCGCTGATCTGATCTGATAATTTGGATATCTCGGTATTGGTTTCGATGTTTCCAGCATTTACTGACTTACTGTTTTTTATTTCCCTTAACTCAGCCTTAAGTTCTCCTATAGACAACTTTAGAAGTTCTATTTCTGAAGATAGTACTGAAAAAGAGCTTGATGGCTGGAGTTTCTCCATAAGCACATAAGGTGAAGGGAGGAGTTCTGTATGAGCAGAGGGTACCGAATTTTTAGGAGTAGTGCTAATACTGGCTGTCAGTACAGTTTTATCCTCAGTTTCAGCTCGACGCTTACGGCATACACGTGAGTTATGTGACTCACTATAGCCGTTTGTTGGGGGTGTGTTGCTTGATGTAGCAATCAAGGACGTTAAATTAGACACCAGTTTTACAGGGGATTGGGTTCGTTGCTTTTTACTTTGATTAACCATAACTATTAGAAATGAGAGTTAGTGGTTACAAGTATGGAAGTGGTATAGTACTTGTGCAAGTACTACAACAAGATAAATTTTATGTAACGAATCACGTAAAAATGTAACGCAAACGTTGAACGTACCGCGATACAGAGTGGTGTTGTCACTGCATATTAACAGATTAAGGAAGTTGCTATCAACCCTAAATTACTATATTTGTGGTGAGAGCAGGCTGCTAGCCAATTGGTAGACATTAATTTACGTCAATGTCTAGGTCACTAATACTGGCCGTGAGAAAATATGAACAAGACCAATTCAACGACCAACCCTAGCAGACTTAACGTGAGGAAATACGATTCACAGATATATGGCTTAACTTCCTGGGAAACCAGTCACAAGCAGTACAGAATAACCTTGAGCAAGAAACAACTAATCAGAGGACTGTGTCTGTCTGCTTGAATAAACTATAATAATGTACATGAGATACATATAAATACGTGCTGATTTCCCTAAAAAATGATCTATTGCCTGGCCCTTGTCTTTCTTTGCTACACATTCACTTGTACTGCGCACTTGGCGTTTAGCAGTATACAGACTTCAACCGTCTAGATAAGGCGACTTTAGCGTATCGAACAGTACAGAATTATTATTCAAATTGATAAATCCTACTAAGTTTTTACAATGCGCTGTAGTGTAGAAACAGACGCGAAATCCTATGAATGACATAAGTAATAGTCTCATAATGCTACAGTAAATCTCCATCCCACCAAGCTTAACATGCACCAATCCAACCGCACATTACAATAGCCCATAGTTAAGCGACGCATTGAAGAAGTCCGGAAGAAGTAGCAAATGAGGAAATATCAAATATTTCATTAATTTACAGAAGAAAATTCCTATGAAAGGCATTAGCGTTAGTTTGACGGATTGAAATTTTCACTGATTTCATATTCAACACACTCCATATACCTTAAAAGATAAAACATATGTAAGGATTGACACAAAATGGAGTTACGAAAGATAATTTTACAGATTAATATACAAAGTGGATACACTGATTCTATTGATACTAACTAAAACTCCCATGCAAATAAAAGTATTTTTAGTCCGCAACTAGTTTTTATAGCGACGCCGTATGCATAAATAGGCCTGATATGTTTTCCAGCATTAGAGGATTATACGCATATTTGAAGACAATATCTGAAACATCCATGCTTTTTAGGCGTCATTCTCTCATGAAGATCACTTGCAGATCAACTTCAAACAAAATATGTTTACATTGAAGGAAGCATTGCAAGTGTGTAACTTAAAAAAATAATTTACAACTTCACTAATGTCAAGTGAACATGGTTTTGTGAATCCTACAGAAATTGAATTCTCATATTTAGGAAAATATCGTCATCAAATATGAGTTGAACATGCCTCAACTCTTAACAGCTATGCACAATGTTAGCAACATAGAGAAGCACTTCAAATATTGTAAGTTATACAGAGCTGTTGTGTCGATGTGGATAACAATGCCGTAGAATACAATCTAGACGTTCCATTGTGATACCGCATCTGTACCGTTTTATGTAAGTGGAAATTTAAGGAGAAATTCATCTCCGATACTGATTATCAAAAGCACTGCAGCATTGTTCACAGTGTCAGTGAGAGACGTATAACAGACAGTAGATTGATAATAATAATAAAGTTGACTAGATTCACTTCTCATAATCACCACGATTCATGTGTATAATCATACCATGCACTGAATTAATGCATGACAACCACCTACATTTGTTAGTCTAGCAGTCAGCTAGGCAAAAAATAGCACAATATCAATGAATTTGAGATATTTTTATACAACGAGTTCACATAACCCATATTATCTTGCAACAGTCAATGCAATACTAAATCCATTTAGAGATAACCTTTCAACTTACGATAATTCCTGTCCAAACACGCATACGGTGAAGGACATATCTACATGGTAGCTTCTTTTCCAACATAAGGTTCTGTTAGCACATATAAGTGATTTAAATGTATTGATAGCATTCGGTTGTCGAAGAGTACTGTTTTTTTACACAAAAGTATGCTTCATCGATATCCTGAGATGTCAAGTCTTCATTGGATGATACTATGCCAAAGTGTTTAGCTTCTACATAAAGTGGACTATTTGTGTGGATGATACCACCCTGCAACTATCCCATCTTGCTCATTTAATCAGTATTTCTATACAGTCCGGATGGAACACTGATCACTGCAACCGATATGTTAAGAGTGTCGCAGTCAGATCACATGACGTGGACACATAGATGATTTGTCAGAAAATGAGAACTTCTATCAATCCAGGAAACGTGTAACACAATATTAATAAAACATGTTAAAAAAATTCGCGAAGCGAAATTTCAACCAACACTCCGGATAAGTCCAGCCTGAAAACGACATTGGTTATTGGATATTTATGAAGCTGGGTCTTTTGGTTATTGCGTTACATGTATGCACTAACATGTGATGTTGTTTCATTGATACAGTTCCAAATTATATAGACCATAGAATTGCACTGGAAAGTGCATAGTACTATCTTGTCCTCTAATAAAATCTATCGGATGGTTTTTTCAACGTTTATTGTCTTACTTACAACGCATGGTATATTCTTCAAAAGTATTACTGACAACAACTGTTTGTAGGAATAGTAGAGATGAACTGGGCACTACCATTCATACACTCGAGTGGAAAGGATATTCGCAACTATCATCATTAGTCCCTATTCATCATAAAGTCGATCATACATCTGAATTAGTAGGTCGTATAAGTGGGACTCATACAAGTTCTTTTGAAGGATTCTGTGTGCATCTAATGTGATATAGAGCTTCTTAGACATTTTGAATCGAATTTGGTTTTAAATGTCTACAGACGCTTGTGAGAAACTGGGACTAGTCTTAACAGCATCTTAGGGACATACACTCTGTATAATTCAGTTTTATTACATATATACCTGATAAATACACTTTTTTTCCTTAATAAATGTCACTTTTGACCTAGAATGTAATTAATAGATTCAAGGTCATTTGAATTTGGCGTCTATTCCCCACGGTTGCCGAGACGCGTACTGCGACGATAAATGTATGAAGCGAGACCTCTCAGACGGTGCTAAATGGCTTAGGCGAAAGTGAGGTTTAGTACTCATGACCTACATTTTCTTGTCAGTTAAATCCGTACTACCTTGGAATCATTAGTATCCAAGTGAACTTTTTGGTGGCATTAATCTTGTGTGTTTAGATTCTAAGGTTGGGTTGTTCTTTTAGTACATTAATCATATTACAATAGAATGTGTATTTTCTTTAAATCGACCTAAATTCATTAAATTGGTTATTTTAAAAGTATATCTACATTAGTCCACTGTTTATAATAGCACTATAATGGTAGCCCTCAAAGCAGATACTATAATGTAATCAAGAAAATATCTAGATTTATCTGTAGCTGACTGAGTTCAAATCTGTTGTGTATTTGTATGGTCTCTTATCATTGTTGCACTCTCATCACCACCTAACGTTCATGTGCTGTCACTATGAATTGTAACCGCAATTTTGATCAATAACAATGGGTATAATTTTATTTGACTCATTTTGCCTTCCACTGGGTTGCGGCACTGCACCCCTTGTACCTTGGTTTGCTCGAAAACTATTGCATAAACCACCTTGGTTTAGTAATGAAATAAGGAGGTTATTAAGAAAACGAAAGAACTTATGTTACCGGTTTACCGTGACTGGAAGGGATGTGTCTCGGACGGAATACCGCAAAATTCGAAACCTTTTTATGTATATGATTGACAAAAGTATTGAGTATGAAAGACAGTTAATACTGGATTATGTGCACTATCCGAAAAGACTTTGTATATCGAACGTAGGACTAAAACTAAGTAGTATACCGTCCTTCATAAGCAATACTGGAGAGCTGCCGAGTCAGACGAAACAAAAGCTGAAAAGCTCTCGGAATACTTATGTGATGTTTTTCCGTCTAATTTTACCACTCAGGGGTGTAGCAAGGTCACTGCTGTATCCACTAAAATGCCCACAATTGTGGTAGAGGATGCAATGGTTCTCAAACTACTGTCTGGAACGTAGCCAGTTAGATCACATGGACCTGACGAACTTCGCCTTGGACTGCTAATCTCCTTGGCGGATATAATATACATTCCACTTAAGGATATTTTTCGAATGTATCTGACCCAGGCGAGGCTATCCAGGGACTTCAAAGGTGCCTTTATAGGCCCCATATTCAAAGAGGGGAACAGGCAGTTAGTATCTAACTACAGGCCTGTAAGTCTGACGTGCATTTTAGCAAAGGTGTTAGGAACATTCAAAAGGAATCAGTTCTTAACTCATATGGAGACACGTGGCTTACTGAAAAGGGAACAGCATGGATTCCGACCAGGACGATCCTGCCTGACAAACTTACTGTTAGCTAGGGAAAATTGGGTCGAAGCCAGGGATTAGAACCATCTATTGGATGTCGTCTTTATCGATACGGTATCCCACTTAGGTCTTAGTAAACTGAAACGTTTTGGATTAGACCAACCCCTGTGCTAGTGGTTTAGTGACTAGCTGATGGACAGAAGGCGTAAGGTAAGGGATACTGGTGTACTGTCAGGGTGGAAAGCAGTACCAAGTGGGGTACCTCAAGGAACTGTACTTGGCCTCCTGCTATTCCTGTTTTACGTAAATGAACTGCCGAAGATTCTTACCTCATCTTCCTTATTATTGGCCGACGATATTAAGATATGGAAAACCGTAAATAATAACGATGATAGGTCGGTACTATAAAACGATCTAGATAAATTAGCTGAATAGGCTAGTCTATGGAGTCTGGAAATTAATTCCAAGAAAGCGCGGTAATCCACATAGGTTAGAGGTCTTACACGTCTTACTCCCTGGAAGACAAAGAAGTGCCAGGTGTTAAGGGACAAAAGGACTAAGGAATTATTGTAAGCCATAACTTAAAAACAACGGCAAATTGTAGTGGAGCCGTAGCTTAGGCTTTTCAAATGCTATGTGCACTTCAAAGGGCTTTCAAACGATTAGACGAGTGTATGTTCGAAGTACTGTATGCAACATATGTCAGACCTCATATAAAATACTGCATACAGGCGGTGGGTCCATGCTGAATAAAGGAGGCACATACCCTGGAAAGAGTTCAGAGCGTAGGAACCAAATTAGTTAGTGGTATCTCACACCTTCCTTATGATATGAGGATTAAGTATTTATATCTCTTCCTATTATCAGGCCGAAGAAGGAGAGGTGACTTAATTTTGGCACACCGTACATTAAAGGGTGACCTAGAGATTGACTTTTCAAACCTTTTCTCTCCCTCTAGGATACATTTACGAGGTTACCACAAGAAGGTGCTCAGACCAAAGTCGAACAAAATAAGTGTGGAGTTTAGATTCTCTCACAGAGGAGTCAACGACTGGAACTCCTTACCTGATTCAATAGTAACTGCTCCATTGCTGAACGCTTTCATAGAGAAACTAGATCTCGGGAGAGATATATTTCGCAAGGATTAACACAGGCAACAAGAACCTTCTATCCTTATAATCTGAATCTTAAAAGTCATGTTGCAAGATAGACTTGTACATACCTTTCCTCAATGGTCCTACTTTCTCAGTAAAATTGTTCTTGAAACATGGTTGGTGGATGACTTCGGAATTTATTTATTCATCTATCGGATAAACCTCACTGTTTGTTGTAATATCTTGCTATCCTTGCACAAAGCTGTCAGCATTCCTTTTTCATTTCCAGGGTATCTAGTCTCCGCTTGCTGAGAAAAAAAAAACATAAGATCATCAACGGAGTAGTGCTGTTGATGAGAGTTGGTTCTTTATCATGTCAACCTTGCAATTATGCCTTTTCATAAGGAAATTGCGCCCTAAGATTCATTCGAGTATTAGAAAATTTGCCTACAAAATTAATACAAAGGAGCAACAAGGTTTTAAATCTTTACTTTTTGAATCCCGCGAATCAGTACCACGTCAACCCTTTAATTACACAGAGAGCACAAATTTCCTTGAAAATGGGGATCAACGTAATTCTTTTGAGAAAAACTGTGAAGCTGAATTACCTCATCTCACAAGGTCTCTCAACTCAGAGGACCTGAATAAAATTTACTCTGACGAGGATCCTTCATTACCATTGTTGTCAGTTGCCTGTTCTGGATGTGGCGCACCCTTGCATAGTAAAGCTGCAGGATACCCAGGTTTTATACCTGCGACAGAATATAAGAGCATAATATTAAATACGGGGCGATCATCTAACCGTTCAAAATCTCGGAGTCCAGCTTTCACCCTCTGTGTACGATGTAATCTTCTTCAGAAACATGTTGATGCTAGACAGGTATGTGCAATATATTTTATTTCAAATAGTATTCAGGAAACGGCAAATGAATCTGATTTTTGGTCTAAAGTGATCAAAGAAATAAAGAGGCATGATGACGCGGTCGTCGTTATGATAGCAGATATGACAAACCTTCCGCATTCGTTGATATCGGATTTGCATACAGGATTAGAAGGCAAAAAGTTAGTTAACAAATCAATATGTGCATTTGTAGATATATACTTGTTGGTAACAAGGCAGACCAATTACCAGGTGATGGTCCTCGTTTCTTAGAGCGATGGCATTCTGCTTTGTTGGAAGCAGCAATTTCAAGAAGCAAAATACCGAGAGACAATATTAACAACATTTTTATTGTCAGTGCACTAACTGGTTATGGTGTAACAGAACTTGTAGATTTTCTATTATCCAAACGTTTTCATTCGAAAAGTAAGTGATATTATTTATGTGGTTTATTTTCATCAGCAATCAAAAGATTTCTGTGTATATTTATCAACTTTCTTAAAAGGAGACGGAAAATCTGTATATTTATTGAATTTTGAATGAATATTGGCGCTTTGATACACTAGAGGGTAGTGCTTTTTCATGTCATCAGTATCAAGGAAACTTTATATCTTTTTGTATTGTGACATTTACAGGTTCATCACTCGATCATAGTTGTGATTTTTCCATTTCGGTTTGAAAGCGATACATAGTATCACTAGTCAGTTGAATGAGTTTTTAAGTTTCCACTTTTGAATAGCTAGAGTCGCATTTGGTATAAAATGCCTTTAGAGTTCAGTTTTAGGGACAACTGAAATGTGATTCAAATTCATTCATTTAGAAACATAAACGTTGGCGTTATTGACTGGGGCATTTGGAAGAAGTCACATTTGTAACTCAGCAATCCAACACTAGTTTATCTAATAGGGGTTCGAACCCAGGACCTTCTGGTTACAAGGGGAGCTCGTAGACCGTTAAGCCACTGGGACCCGATTCAGTGGCTCATGAATTCTGACTTCTACCAATTCACGATATAGCACAGCAACTAGCTAATGTCTTCGGCAAGTATTTGTCCTCACACCCGACGTGCTACACCCTACTGGTCACGACTTCCCACTAGAACCCCAATGGTTCTTTAACCAATGTCAGCTCATGATGAAATCCTGTAACCAATCAACCAAATTCCTACAAACCAATACTTGATGAGTTTATTCACATAGCCATACAACCATATTCATAGACAATTTTGTGATAAGCATGTGAAGTGTATCTAGTATAGTACTATTTTCGACACCCTCATTCTTGGTATTGCCGAAGCATTGGAAATCTACAAGATGAAGCCTATTGTATGCAATCGAAGGAAACTGACTGAGGTTTTCTTTTTTTCTTTAATATCTATCTACTACTGCTTTCTATCTTTTGCATTTGTCTACCTCCATTTTCTTGTGTAATATCCATTCATCTCTTCTATGCTTTTACTGGTTAATTTTCCCCATGCTGGTTTTAGGTGATTTGGTTGGTTATTGGCTTGATTAATAACTGACATCAGTTAGAGAACCATTGGAAAATCAGGGAGTACTGGACAACTGTTTCTTCCTACTTTGGAGCTCTTCATCAGTACGCACCTACCAGGGTTGGAACTCAGAACTTTCCGGTTTTTAGGTGAGAACCTAGTATATTCAGCTATTGGGACTCTGTCTAATGTCCTATAAATGGCAACTTTTGTCAGTTCGTTATATATAGTGCAGCGATTGTCTACGGCGAGTAACTCTCCTCTTACCTAACTTGGTGGAAACCATTCCTTAAACTTTCCCACTTACTGTATACAGCCAGTCGCCAGTTACGTTTTATTTTCTGGATAATTCATCATTACATGGAGGGTTTCATAATGAGCTGTCACCAGTTAGAGAATCGGGTTCGGTGGGTGCATACTGCCGAAGAGCTCCAAACTAGGAGGAAACAGCTGCCCAGTACTCCCAGATTTTCCAGTGGTTCTTCAACTGATTTCAGCTCATGATGAAATCCTCCATCCAATCAAACTAAATCCCTACAAAGCCAATACTTGAAAAGTCATCACTATGCAATCATTGCAGCCAATTGTCTATTTCTTTACGTTATCTGTTAAATTTTGACTAGTCTTCACTACTCTGATGTATCCTGTTAATTGTGATTAATTTATGATGAGTATCTCATTTTGATTTTTTTCCTTTTTGTTGCTGTGGTTGATTGATTACATTAAACTATATATTGAACATGCTTAAGATGAATTTGCATATTTAAGTACGATTAAATATGTATGCGTGCGACGGTGGCATAGCGGTTAGGACGCTTGTCGACCATGCACATGGTCCGGGGTTCGATCCTCGGTCGACGCACTCCTTTACTCCGTTGAGCCAGAAATAATGCTGGTAGAGAGGAAACGTTGGGCATGAGGCTAGCAACCCCATCCTGTAAAATAAACACTCCCACAGAAACTGCAAGCCACTAGCTTGAAGCCCTATGTTCCACTGGGGAACGTGAAGGAAAAAAAATATGTATGTAAATGAACTCACTGAAAAGTTCCTCCTCACTGAATGACTGACTAGTTTCAACAGAGAACTTTGCAACAATGTGCAGTAGTTCGATTCACCACACTTCACTTAATACACAAAGCAAGAGAATAAAGTGAAAAAATTCACAACAGAGTATACAGAGATATGAGCCAAAAACAATAGTAATATCGAAGAAGCATACCGTTTTATTGAATATTACAAGTCACATGTCAATTGGTGACATGGCTCAAAATCGTTCTCAGTGGCGCAGATGCATCCACTCCCTGTGACTTATGATCTTCAATGAAACTGTTTTGTATTTATTTATTACTCCTTTGTCTCACACCTCTGCTCACTGTTTCTATTATGCTTTTCTTGTACTTTCTTCTCTTGCTTCGCGTGCTACACGGAATGTGGCGACTTGAACTTCCGCACATTTGTGCAAAGTTCTATGTCGAAAACAGACAGACAGACAAGTCACAAGGAGTGGATGCATCTGCGCCATTCAAAGTCATTTTGAGCTCTGTCACCAATTGTCTCCAGCTTTCATTGGTTTTACCGTCCCGAGGCCCCAATCAGGAAGTCTGCACCTCCCTACGTGGCTTAAACTAACTGTTGTGGATATCATTGACGTATTTCATGTTTTGGTTCGACCACCACTGGCTCTTTTACAACCTAACCCTATGTCAGCTAACATTGGCCGTCGAGGAAAGCGATGCCTAGGCGTGCGTAACACATATCCTAACCATCTCAATCGGTGTAACTTCACAGCCTCGTCTATTGATTTCCCCTCCTTACCTAGCACTCACTTTTGATCATATCTGATCAGTTAGGTCCCCTGAAAAATTTTTCGGTAATGTTTTCCTGGATAATTTATAAATATAATTAGCACTGTAAGTCTTAGGAAAGTGTTTTGTTTAGCTGTAAAGTCAAGCACAACAATCAGGCTCTGATGACCAAGTTACGAGTTTTAATATAGATTCATTCTGTTGGACAACTTTATGTAGGTGATAGTTTTGCTATCCCTTGTTGTTGGGTGTATGTATATGCACTTGAAGATGATAAGGTATCATATGGAATTCAAAATCTCTCTACAGTTAAACTAAACTTGAGCTTTACGGAGCTGTAATTCATGCAATTAAAGTGCTTCACTTTTAGCTAACGAGTTACAAACTTTGTTTTAACTAAAGGGATTTTGAAAATTAAATGCTACTCCTAGCGTCGGTTGCACAGCGGTTAGGACGCTTGCCGACTATGCACATGGTTCGGGATTCAATCCCCGACCGGCGCGCTCCTTTACCTCCCTAAGCCAGTAGTGATACTGGTAAAGAGGAAAGGTTGGGCATCAGGCTAGCAACCTCATTCTGTAAAAATTAACACTGCTACAGAAATTTCAAGCCTCTAGCTTGGAGTCCAATGTTCCACTGGGAAAGGAAAGGAAAATAAAAAAATCTTTAGACAGTGCATTTTTTTCACTGCTAAACACTTAATGGGAACTTTTGAACACTTTCATTAATTGTCCAATTGTTACCATTACTGACTAATATTGTTCTGATTGTTTAATCACAATATTTCTTTCTTTCACTTTCACCACAGATCCAATTTATCTGTTAGGTTCTGCAAATACTGGAAAGTCTAGTTTATTCAATCGCTTATTACTGTCAGATTTATGTAAATCAGAAGCTAAAGAATCTATTCATCGTGCTACAATATCCACATGGCCAGGTAATTTACTTTAGTTTTTTTAACTTTAAAAATTCCTGACAATGTTTTTAAAGTTGTTTGGTGTGAATGTATGTGTAAAACTTGGGCACTGTGGTAGTAAGTTTTTTTTCCCTCACGTTCCCCAGTGGAACATAGGGCTTCAAGCTAGTGGCTTGCAGTTTCTGTGGGAGTGTTTATTTTACAGGATGGGGTTGCTAGCCTCATGCCCAACGTTTCCTCTCTACCAGCATTATTTCTGGCTCAACGGGGTAAAGGAGTGCGTCGACTGAGGATCGAACCCCTGACCATGTGCATGGTCGACAAGCGTCCTAACCGCTATGCCACCGACGCACTGTGGTAGTGAATAATTCCATATTAGTTTGCTTATTAGATGTAACACACAGTGATGAAACAGTGTTATTTACTGGATGAAGTTTTGAACAGAATTTATTGTTCATAATCATATCAATTATAATCACACGACTTTGAAACTTGAGTTTTATAGTTTTCTTTTTCTTCTACTTGTCGTAGGGGTAGTAGAATTTTCCAGATATCTGGGACAGGTGATGAATCATTCCTATTACATGCATTTGCAGTTGACTCGATAAACAAACCTTTTGTTATCAATCTCTCCCTCCACCCTGTGACATTAGATTTTGGAACTGTCATCCTATCTGTAAAAGTAGGATTGGTAGAATACTTAAGTGACGGAGCACAAAAGCTAACTAGTACCAAGCATAATCTAAGACAGGAAGTGATACGCATAAAAATATCCTTGAAACTTAATAATTACCCGGATAAAGTAGTCAAGAAATATGTAAAAAAATGTAAAATAATAATAATAAATAATGATAGTAGCGATAGTGATAGTAATAAGAATAATGACAATAATAATATTAATGACGACACCAACAATAAGGAATCTGAGTCATCATCAGTAATTCCATACAAGGAAGGAACCTCGGAAACCTTACGCAGAATTCTTAACCATGCAGGCAGAAATAAAAGTGGCATTCAAACCCACAAACTCAATTAGAAATAAGCTTTGTCGGTTAGAGGATCCTGTGGAGCCTTTAGAACAAAACAATTTAGTTTATCTAATTTCCTGCCTGAGTTGATTGTCAGGTCAAGTACACAGGTCAGAGTAGTAGAACAGGGGCATTTAGACTAGTCGAACATAAAAACCTAGCAAAATCTAGGTTGGTTGACCCAAATAAGATAAGAAATCTAGAGAATAGTTCAGCTATAGCACTCACTGCATGCGATTACACACAACCATACAACAGGATGGGATAGGATGACAGTTCCAAAATCTAATGTCACAGGGTGGAGGGAGAGATCGATAACAGAAGCTTCGTTTATCGAGTCAGCTGCAAATACATGTAATAGGAATAGGAGGAAGGACTGCACTACTCGCCGATGCCTTTTCGTAATCTCCGCCTACGCCCCCACTGACTGCAGTTCAGATGAAACGAAGGATGAGTTCTACCAAAAGCTGTCTAGTTTGGTGCGAAAGGCTAAACGCTCAGACATAGTCGTTCTAGCTGGTGACTTTAACGCTCAAGTAGGGAAATTGTGTCAATCTGAGAAGGATGTCGGTGGCACCTATGGAGTTCCGTGCCAGCGAACCGACAACGGTGACCGTCTCCTACAGTTCTGCTCTGATAATCATTTGTTTCTTGTAAGCACTAACTTCAAACACAAGGAGAGACACTGTTTGACTTGGAGACCCCCTTCATCAAACCAACGCTGGACACAAATAGACCACATAGCAATAAGCTATCGTTGGCGTGGGTCGGTAGGAGATTGTCGCTCCTTCTGGAACACGTGCGTAGATACCGACCATGCACTGGTCCGCGCTCGGGTGTGCTTACGACTGAACGGACGTAGGAAACAGCTGGCGGTAAAACCATCACGTCCCCAGCTCGATCAGGAAACTAAATCCGTATTTGAGGAAGAACTAGCTAAACACATATCTGTGTTCGACAGCTGTGCTCACCCTGAAGAAGCTTGGAAAAATATCCAGGCAGCCATAGATACAGCTGTAAAAGCTGTGAATAAGGTAAACCCAAAGGTGAGTAAAAACCACTGGATCTCCACCGCCTCATCCGAACTGATAGATGCTAGAAGACTTATTCCGGCGAGCTCCGAATTCAATGAGGAGCGAAAGCTGCACAAGAGGAAACTTACGAAAAGTCTCCGCAAGGACCGTGAACAGTGGTGGGCGACAAAAGCCAAAGAGATGGAGAAAGCTTCGAGGATAGGCAACACCAGGCAACTCTTTGGACTCATCAGGGAAACGGGTGGGAGAAGACAAATCATCAGTGAGACAATCTCGGAAAAAAATGGCACTATAATTAGCTCCCAGGATAGACGACTGGATCGTTGGAAAGAGCATTATGAGGAGCAGTTTAATTTGCCCACAGCCACGCTCAACCTTCCGAGCATCCAACACCTCCCTGAATGGGATATAGACACAGGTCCTCCGTCACTAACTGAGGTTACTAAAGCTGTCACCAATCTGAAACTAGGCAAAGCAGCGGGACCTGATGGAATGACTCCAGAGGTATTTAAGTACGGTGGAGACAGCTTACTGTCTGGATTAACTGAGGTACTAGGCAGCGTCTGGGAATCAGAAGAAGTCCCATCGGGTTGGTGTAAGTCACTGATTATCCCCATATACAAGAAGGGAGACAAGTCTTCCTGTGATAATCACAGAGGGATTAGCTTGACTAATATAGTATCTAAAGTCTTAGGCTCAATAATCATGCGTAGACTGAGTGGTGCTCGGGAAGCACAAACACGAGAGAGCCAGGCAGGCTTTAGACCAGGAAGAGGGTGTATTGATCATATCTTCACCCTCCGACAGATTCTAGAACATAGGCATTCCTACCGGCGTCCAACAGTCATTATATTTCTTGACCTAAAGGCAGCATTCGACTCTGTCGATCGGGAAGTTCTCTGGAGATGCTTGGCTGTAAAGGGAATTCCGAGAAAATATATTGCACTGATTAAGGCACTCTACTCGTACTCATACAGCCAGGTGAGGGCTTACGGCGAGCTGTCATCTGAACTGATGACGACCAGTGGTGTCCGTCAAGGATGCCCATTATCTCCTTTTCTATTCAACTTCATCATAGATGTGTTAATGGACTTAACCCTAGGTGACTTCAGCGACTCAGGGATTGACTTGCTACCGGGGAATAATCTCGTTGACTTGGAATATGCAGACGATATAGTCCTTCTAGGCGAAGACGCTGACGAAATGCAGAGTCTTCTAAACACCTTGAGCTGCAATCTACGAATGTTTGGCATGCGATTCGCTCCCGCCAAATGCAAGATGATGTTACAGGACTGGACTACATCGACGCCTAGTTTAAAAATAGGAAGTGAAGTGGTAGAGCACGTTGACCGCTTCACTTATTTGGGAAGTACCATCAGCCCCAACGGGCTGATCTCTGACGAAATCTCAGCACGAATACAAGGGGCTCGTTTCGCATTTGTTAGTTTACGCCGACTCTGGCGTAGACGAGATGTTCGACTATCGACCAAAGGGCGGGTGTACTGCTCATCAGTCCGCTCCGTCCTCCTTTATGGTTGTGAGACCTGGCCACTGAGAGTGGAAGACATGAAAAGACTAGCTGTCTTTGATCATAGGTGCCTGCGTTCTATTTCCCGTGTAAAGTGGCATAATAAGGTGAGCAACATGGAGGTTAGGCGTAGAGTTCTAGGTAAACAGGGGAAATCAATCGACGAAGTCGTGAAGCTACAAAGACTGAGATGGTTAGGACATGTGTTACGTATGCCAAGCCATCGCCTCCCTCGACGAGCAATGTTAGCGGATATAGGGTCAGGCTGGAAAAAAGCTAGCGGCGGTCAAACAAAAACTTGGCTCATCAGTCAATGAAATCCACAACAGTTGGTCTAAGCCACGTAGGAAGGTGTAGACTTCCAGGCTGGGGTCCTCGGGACGGTAAAAATCTATGGTTGGAAACAATTGGTGACATGGCTCAAAATCGTTCTCAGTGGCGCAGATGCATCCACTCCTTGTGACTTATGATCTCCAATGAAACTGTTTTGTATTTCTTTATTACTCCTTTGTCTCACACCTCTGCTCACTGTTTCTATTATGCTTTTCTTGTACTTTCTTCTCTTGCTTCGCGTGCTACACGGAATGTGGCGACTTGAACTTCCGCACATTTGTGCAAAGTTCTATGTCGAAAACAGACAGACAGAGACAGACAGAGAGACAGAGAATAGGAATAACTCATCACCTGTCCAGTCGGATATCTGGAAAATTCTACTACCCAAAACGACGACAAACAGTAGGAAACAAAGAAAACTATAAAACTCCAGTTTCGAAATGGTGTGATTATAATTGATATGATTATGGACAGTAATAAATTGTGTTCGAAACTTTGTCATCCAGTAAATAATACTGTTTCATCACTGTGTGATACATCTAATAAATAAACTAATATGGAATTGTTTTGTGTGAGATTTTCAAAGAAAAACGAACCGAGAAATAATTATTGTCATTTGAAATCGAACCTTTTTTGAAAAACGACACATACTACTCGATGAAATGAGTGGTTGTTATCCAGAAGTGCTTGTTAGCCGGACGACCGTTTCACTTGCTTTGATGTCTAGCTCAACAGTAGGTTATTTGAACTTATCCAGGTCATATGTGAGTTTAAAACAAGCAATAAAGGTTAATAAAGCAGGATTTAATGAATTCATCAAATTTCGGTAGAACTCGTCAGCTGAATACTCTACATACATGGATATATATATATATATATATACTTTTGAAATTACATTGGGAGATATAAAACTGATAAGTAAACAAACTACATTGAATCAGTCATGCAGAAAGACAGGTGCGAATATTTTCCAGGTCATGTTCAAATAGATAAGGGAAGAGAGAGTATGAGAGATCAAAATTAAGATAAATTGCATTATGCTTCAATTACATCACTTAGATAAACAATTAGTCATTAGAGAATATAATAATAATAAGAGGTAGAATAATATGTAAAACGTATTACCATGGTATATCCAGAGTCACGACCATCTCCTTTTGAACACAGAGACCTGGTATGTCAATTTGAGTGTGTTTGTGCAAGCAAATATATAGGTCGTACAGAAAGGCGATTGTCTACTTGCATGATGGAGCATTTGCCAAAATGGTTGAAAACAGCTGAGTGCGAAGTGCCAAAATCCTCAATAACAAAACATCTTATGGACTACGGACATGATACCGACGCGGTCAAGTCATTCACTATTGTCAGCAGACAAAGAAACTAGAAGATGCTTGGAATTGCACAGGCTTGTACAATTCGAGTTTATAAACCAGGTCTCTGTGTTCAAAAGGAGATGGTCGTGACTCTGGATATACCATGGTAATACGTTTTACATATTATTCTACCTCTTATTATTATTATATTCTCTAATGACTAATTGTTTATCTAAGTGATGTAATTGAAGCATAATGCAATTTATCTTAATTTTGATCTCTCATACTCTCTCTTCCCTTACCTATTTGAACATGACCTGGAAAATATTCGCACCTGTCTTTCTGCATGACTGATTCAATGTAGTTTGTTTACTTATCAGTTTTACATCTCCCAATGTAATTTCAAAAGTGTATATATATATATATATATATATATATATATCCATGTATGTAGAGTATTCAGCTGACGAGTTCTACCGAAATTTGATGAATTCATTAAATCCTGCTTTATTAACCTTTATTACTTGTTTTAAATTCGTATCGGGAAATAAATTTTTTCAGTGATTTCCAACTACTCATATCAATCAGTAGTATGTACTACCTTGTATTTTTGTTTAGTCATCTTTCATTGTCATTTATGGTATCAACAAGGTTGTATCTTGTGATCTGAATATTTAAAATTTATAAAAGGGAGACCTTAGCAAAATCCCACTCTGTATTGTGTAGTTTGAAAACTAGGAATAATACTCTATGCATAAACAGTTCTGATGGTTTAAACTGATTACGTTTACTGAGGTAAGTAAATCCTCATTCACCGCTGATAAATTCAGTCTTAAACAAGCGAAACAGCCACCCAGTGTGTGTAGGTCATCTTGATTTGGCTAGTAAGCACTACTGGTTGACGTGTTTTCCAACCAATTAGCTACTATATGGTTGCTTAACATCTCAGACCAACTTGTAATGAACAGGAATATTTGCTTACAGGATTTCATCATCAGCTGACATTGGTTAGAGAACCATTGGCGACTGGTACTATTCAGGTAGGTAGTTACCTAGGGTTCTAGTGGGAAGTCGTGACCAGTAGGTTGTGGCACGTCGGGTGTGAGGACAAATACTCACCGAAGACATTGTCTAGGGGTCGCGCTATGTCGTGAATTAGCAGAAGTTAGAATTCATGGGCCATTGGATTGTGTCCCAGTGGTCGCCTTGTAACCAGAAGATCCTGGGTTTGAACCCCGGTGGGTGCGTACTGCTGAAGAGTCCCAAACTAGGACTCAGCAAACAGCTGTCCAGTACTCCCGGGCTTTCCAATGGTTCTCTAACCAATTTTAGCTCATGATGAAATCTTGTAAGCGATCAATCAAAATCCCTACAAACCAATACTTGAATAACGTGAGTATTTGCTCTTCACCCATAGCTAAAATTGCAAGGATTACCCCTAATCTGAAATGTAACCAAATAACTGGCTCTTATGCTCTGATTCTAGAAATAATGCACGATGTGATGGTGGCGAATTATTGGATAGAATAGCTAAACTAGTGACTGGTATGTGAAAATCTGTGGTCGTGTCACCAAACTGGTGTTGGTCGTTAACCATTCCAACGGTAACTACAGGGGAATCAATTTGACTAGTGAAATGGCCAGCGTAGCAGAGTTCATCTACATACAAACAGGCTTAGCTCGAAGAACAGTCGAAAGTGAACTCATCAGATCTTCACTCTTCAAAAGGCTCTGGAATACAAATATATTTTTAATGTTTTCAAAAAATTGCCACATTTTCTTACCTGAAGAAGCCAATTGATTGTGTCAATTGAAAGGTATTGTAACAATAGTTGTAAACAAAGTACTGAGGAAGTATGTCATTGTAATGAAAATACGATTTATGCTGCTGTTAGAATTTGTGGAAACATTTATTTCCCCGTACGAAGTTAAAACAAACACCGAATGCTTTATTAGCATGTATTGTTTGTTTTATGGAGAGCTGTTATAACTAGTAAAAACAACCTTTAGTCTCTGCCAATGCAAATAACTTTGACTTCAGCTGTCAAAAAAAGAGCTGACTGACTTAGTTTACTCAAAGCATATTGGTACTGTTACGTGCTACACCATTGCATGGCAACTTAAATCGATGCACTTTTGTGTAAAGACATACCTTGATTTGTCTGTTTCCTTCGACTAAAAGAGAAAGGTGATAAATTGTGTCACTTCTCTTTAACTTCATTATTTATGGTATTATTGAAACATAATCCCTGAAGGAGATTCGTGGTTGTAGTAGTTTGTTTTATCTAACCTCTATTACCCGGAACAGACTTTTCATAGGCCAGACCAAGAACAACAATTACCAAATGTGAAGGTGGATGATACTACCCAGTTCCCCAGGTTGAAGAGTTTGGTGCGGAACTCAAACCCATGACCCATCAGCTTAACATCGAGTGTTTAAGCTATTCAGTAAATGGTAGTGGCTTGAGTCCTCCTTTACACCTTGAATAGTACGTGAATGATACCTTTTAGCTGTACAATCTAAATATATAAGCTACTCTAATAACCTACTGAATTTACAATTAATATTCATATATGAAGTATAATGAGATTATTACATTGTTCTATCATCGTAATATTCATATTTCAGGACAGTGTATGTGGATATATATATTATTTGGTCAAAAATACAGAATTATTGTTTTCTTAATTCACTGTTGATTTTCAGGCACAACATCTGGTCTTCTTAGTTTCCCATTAACACTAATGAATGCAGCCAAACGAGGTCAACGTACACAGTCACGTAATGAACGAGCACAACGAAATATTATTTCAGAAAAGGAATCTAATATATCATATGGTTTCCAATACTTGAAACGTAAGTGTATTTTTTGGGCTGAATTCAATTTGCAAAACATTTTCACCTTTTAGGTGTGATAGAGAAGATTTATAGCTCAGGTGGATGATTTTGATGTGGTTGTGTTCTCTGAGGTGGATAGTTTAATTTACGAAGCTTTCATCGCCCCACTAGGCGACATCTTCAGCGCATACTTCAATTTCAAGTGAGCTTTTAGATTTCTCCACATGACACACAAAAATAACCAATCACGTCCAAGGTCACCAGGAGAGATGATTAATAAACTCGTGGAGAAATCTAAAAGCTCACTTGAAACTGAAGTATGCGCTGAAGATGTCGCCTAGTAGGGCGATGAAAGCTTCGCAAATTAAACTATCCACCTCAGAGAACACAACCACATCAAAATTTTCACCTTTTGTTTCGTCATAATATGGTTATTGGGGCTCATTTATTAGTCACATATCTGCTTATGTATTTATCATAGTACAAATAAAACTGTATGAAGAGTATTCTACAGAGGAGCTCTACCAAAGTTTGGTCAATTAAATTAATTCCTATTTTACTAACATTTGTTGCTTGTTTTAAATTTATATTTGGGAATAAATTTCCCCTATTTCTAATGACATAGAAATGTTGAGAAAGAACTGCCAAATGGATGCAGGCGAACCAAGATAAAAAGTACATTCTTACCAAGAATGCTTTCCTCTTCCTCATGACAGTTTCTTTCACCTGGCGTAGTAGTAGTAGTAGTAGTAGGATTAAGGAAATTATAACCCTTTGATATTGCTTTTGTAGTTTTTAAAATTTCTACTACGAAAATCTCTGTCATAGAATGAAATTGTCACTTTATTATTATTACTATTATTATTCCTTCGGGTTCTGGGTTGAACATAGAACTTCAACAGCTCGTCTTCACTTTGTACTGTTTTCTACAGTCCTCTTTGGTTGCCCCCAAGATTGACCATAGGCCCTCATCTCCACCTCACACGAAGTCCTCCATGTCACCACCGGACGCCAAAGTCATCGTGTGCCACTCGGGGGTTTACCTGGCTGGCGATGTCATCCAACGGTCTCCCCAGCGTGCGTCCTATCCATCTCCACTTTCTTCGGAATATTTGTTAAGCAATTGGTTCTTGGTTGATTCGTTTCTAGAGTTTCTTGTTTATAGTTCTTTCTGGCTGGACACCGGATCTTCAATATGGAAACAGAGGGGGCAGTTATTGATAACAGCCTGACCCATATAGAATAACTGATTGACTTAGCACTGATGTTGAAAATTCGAAGTTTGTTCTTTGTGCTGAGTACAGAAGATTTCCAAATAGACTGAAATATTCGCTCTTCTGTCATTTAGCCACCGGTATTCTGTGTCCTCTAAGTTTGGGTATTTAGAGAGCATATCACTGCAATTTCTGACAGCATAGAAGATAATTAAATAATTAGCTACTGGGTTGCCGTAACTGTTTGTTTATTAAAACCGATTACTCTTGTGAGTTGGTCTAAAATCATTATCAAAAGAAGCATTGGCCAGGGTTGAAGGATACTGACCAATTAGAATACCACTTTCTTATCAGTCTCTAAACTGAAACCTAGTCTTTACTCTAGCTTTTCTCATTTCTTTCGCGTTCCGAGTGGAACATACTTATTCAAGCTTTTCTAAGCTCTGGAGTTTTACTGGCGCTTGCGGGGTGAGGTTGCTAGTCTCACTACCGACCTTCCCTCTTTTCCGAACTGACAACCAGCTAAACGAGGTTCGGAGTTCGCTGACTGGAAGTCGAACCTCTACCCACATATGGAGAATGGCGGGGATTCTGCTCTTGAATCACTAGAATAAAACTGAACACTAAATCATTGAACATAATTTCACGAAATTGCAAAGTTCAGTATTATATATACTCTCTCTCTATCCAACTTTCATCATCCAACTTGATGAAACATTTTTTGGTAAATTCTATGATGGTAAGCATAAATAATTAGTGAATATAAAAATTTTTATATACGACTACAATTCAAGGGCGATATACCAAGCGAGATACTTGTGAAGAAATTAAGAAAACCAGTTCAAAGAACTTTTAATGCTGGCGAACTAAACGCCTTATTCTCTACACCACCGATGGCCCTACTTTGACTAAAAGATGAAGTACCTAGACTAGCCACTTCAAATTGTATCTACCGATTCAACTGCTCTTGTGAGGCGAGTTATATTGGCCGTTGCTCTAAGAACTTGATTTTTCGTGCTCGAGAACATATCCCACTATGGCTAAGTAAATGTGTAGTGAAAACCATTAACAGTTCGATATTGGACCATCTGGTGCAAACCGGCCACAAATCCAGCGTGGAAGAATCCTTCTCTATCATCACCTACCGGGTGCCTAATAAATTGCCGGAATCATCGAAGCACCGCATTCTCCAAACAGCAGAGGCTATTGCGATTCACCTGAAACAACCAGTGCTCTGTGTTCAAAAGAAGCAAGTTCGACCATCCCCTACTACTGCCATGGCCTTCAGTAGAAACTATTAACTCATGAATTTGTAATATTATCTTTCCTAATTTTTCTGAGATTCAGCTTATTTTATGTTGATGCTATTGAACTGTAATCTATTAATATTATTGATTCGATGTTATTTAAACAACAACATTAATGTTGTTCATAACACTAATTCATTCATTCACTATAATGTGTATATATAACTGTGGAGCCTGATGATGAATTTATCGAAAAGAGAACTCTTTGTTCACTATCCATTCTTTTGAAAATTTCTTAAAAATAAGTCGCGTTTCCATGTAGGAACTAATTTTACTGACTGTTTAAATCTTTGAGGTGAAGTGAAGTTCAAACCTGTGATCCAGCGGTTGAATATCGGCCAGTTAAACCTACAGATTATAAATCCACATAAGTAGTTATTTGTAAAGCAAGAAAATTGCAATGGTTTTGCTTACACAGTATGATCTGTAATAGCGTAGATTCAGAAATAGTCAGAGCTCAAGCATCAAGACAGTTGTGTGTGTGTGTTTTTGGTAAGATGTAATCATCATCTGTTATGTATCTAGCCTTTTTCTACTTCCTTATTTCACTTTCAGCCAAGGAAATTGGCTCCAGTATTCATGATAGACGATCGTTAAATTATTATGCAGTTGAAAAAGCTCGTGGTCTACTACCAGATTTGTCGGATTTGCCAACATATACATGGAAATCGAGTAGTGATATCGTAGAATCTGATGATAAGGCTGGGAATTGTATTGCCAATGAATTTGGATTAGAACAATTAACTTCAAAATTCTTACATGGTAATATTTACATTGATAGGGCTACATGGGATGGAGATCAAGGCAGTCGACTATTGACAAATGTATTAAATGCACGATATTTCAATAATCATGCATGGTGTTATGATACTCCAGGTGTACTTTGTGAAGACCAGGTAATTTTTATTTAATGATTTATTTATTTGTATATGGTAGTTGTTTGATTGATCGATTGACTGAGTTTCAGCGTAGACCTCTGCAAAAAAGTTCAAGCTATCACATTCTATATAGCACATACAAGTAGAGAAATAGCCGGACAATTCAAAATAAATATAATGAACAGAAGTGTACAGGATAAAGAATAACGAGGATATAATGGATCTAGGAGATGACAAAGAGTGGCTGTACTACTGCGAACGTTTTTTAACCACATCATTAACAGTCTCAAACTATTAACTATTAGTATAAGTATAAAACTTGCTCACTGTGGTAGAACATAACTCCATTATGGATAGGATTTTATTCTGATAAATCACACAGTGTTGTACAATAATGTTAACAGTTAATAATAATATTATTATCAAGAAGACAGTTGCAGCGGAGAAAATTTTCTTTTCGACGAAGTCATCGTCTAGGGTGTACATTCGTGTATTTATATCAAATGGATGGAAAAGTTCCAGAATAATTTCCGGTTAAGAGTCAAATTAATAAAATTACAATTAGGAATTAAAATGCGATAATAAACAGGGGGACGGATAAAACTTAAACAAAGTAGCATCATAATTACAGAGAAGATTGACATTGTGCAGTTGGGGTTAGAAATGTAAAAATAACAAAAACAGACAGGATGTTTGGATAAAAAAAACTAATGTGACGAATAATTGTTTATGCAATCAGGGACTAAATATGTAGAAATATTAAAATGACAGGTTTGATTGAATCTTTTATATTACTCTGAAGGATCTTCCGAAAGTCGCTGAATGTCCTGAATTGACCAGATGTTCTGTCACTGAACTATATACACGTTTTCGGCCTCCTTCTACTAACCAGGCTGGATAGTGTTCATGATCGTGTTTTTCAAGTTGACGCATGGTACGGCCGATGTGCTGAACTCAACAAGAGCAAGTAAACTGGTATATGCACGTTGAGGTGGCCCAATGCGACAGCTTGTCTTTCGCGTTCTGGCTGAACAGTTTCTTGCAGGAAAACGCCAGTCGTAGGCTAGCGTCGAAGTATGTTTTCCTCAGCGATTTGGAGAGGCGTTTGCGAAGGATTTCTGCTTCAATATCACCTTTGAATTGTAGATTAAGCTTAGGTATTTTCTTTGGAACGGGTTGGAATTGTTCGAAAGTCTTCTTAGATTTGAGATTCTTGTCTATGAACCTGGGCGGGAAACCGTTTTCCATCACGGTTCTATTATCAATTATTTTTATTATCAGTTAATATTATTGTACAACATTGTGTGATTTATCAAAATAAAATCTTATCCATAATGGAGTATTAACTATTAGAGTCTCAATATCCTTATCACAATTCGTTAGTCTGTACCTTCCTACGTGGCTTAAACCACCGATAAAAACTTCATAGATTGGTCCCATGTTTTGATTGGAATACTCTTAAAACTGTCTTCTAACCTGATCCCAAGTCAGCCGACACCGTGGAAGGCGGTGGCTCAGTATGCTTAACTGTCTCACAGTCTGGTCGATTGACTTAACCTCCTTACCCCTAAGACTACGCCTAATCTCAGTAATACTTACCATGTTAAACCACCTAATGCGGCAATACAGCGTAAAACTCCGTAGTCAAAAATAACTCGCCTCTTCTTGCCTTCCATTTTCAACGGCCCCGTGTCTCGCAGCCATAAAGAAAAACAAAGCGAACTTCTGATCATAACAAATGTTCTTTGACGGATAGCTATGTTTATGTTAGAGATAATGTAAGTGGGCGAATGTCACTTACTGAAACTTCGCTCGCATTCAATCCGTTAGGGCTTCCTAAATAAGTAGTAGTAATTAATACGCTCAATCACTTGTCCTTTAAGTAAGGGAACACTTATGCTAACTACAGTTATATTTTAAGCATTTACCTGCACACTGTACTACTGGATTCGACTTCATTACTCTTCGAAGTCTCGTTGCATATCAGGATACGATTCACAGATTTGATGTACTCAAATCATGCAGAAAGTTTGTTAACTGCAACAAAGTAGTAAAGACACAGTTTGAAGTATAGAATGCTATTTTATCTCTCGAGTTTTCATCAACTGCGGACTGCCCGAATTTACAGTGGTTATGAAATGATAACATGAAATGAAATAACATGCTTCAATTTTGGAATGACAGCAGAGAACATGCCACAAATAAAGGGGTTCCATTTATGGTTCAGTTTACCATCAATTTATCTGTATTGCGAAATAAACAGCGAATGAGTTAGAAATGACAAATGTAGGATGAATAACTGGGTCACTCGTTTTGTAGGTTAACAATCGGTGTATTTCTTGATATTAGGGCTGCCTACGGTTTGTTCGACGGAACTGCCCTCTGGGATTGTCTGTGAGAGAGGGTGTTTCTGAGTAGTTTTTTAACGTCTTGAAAGCCTTAAACAGAAACACCGCAGGTAGGTAGGGGGTGCTATCACTGCTGTTCTCAACGAACAGTGGGGTTAGACAGGGTTGTCCAATCTCTCCATTTCTCTTTAACTTTTCTGTCTATGACATTCTGGAGTTGACTTTAAATGATGAGCGTGGCAGTGGTGTAGATCTGTTCCCCGGAGGAAGAATTTCTGACTTCGAGTATGCAGACGACATCATCTTACTGTACTATAGCATGCAGTCTGCGTAAACCGCGCCTAATCAGCTGGCGATCAGTGTCTACAAGTATGGTAAGTGCTTTGTGCTATCCAACTGCAAAGTACTGTTACAAGATTGGCATGAGCCTGTATCTGCATCCAGGTGAATCGCGTGAATTTGTTGACAAGTTCAGTGTATCTAGGTTATCTTGTGAGTGGTGGTGGAAGCGTGACGAATGAAACGTCTAATGGTATCTATCTACTTGCCCAGGTACTCCAACACACCTTATCTCTACCCTTGAAGTGACGACAGACATTTACGGTACGATGTTCACCAAGCACACATATGGTCAGGAGTTCGATCCTCGGCGGATACACTCCTAAACCTCGCCTACCTGCTAGTAAGCCCATTAAAGCGGGGAATGTTGTTTGTGAGACTGGCAACCCCATCCCGTGGAAATAAAAAAGAAACTACTGCTACCGAAAATTCAAAGCTTAGAAAAGCTTGGATACCTATGTTCCACTTCGAATGCAAAGAAATAAAATAATAAAAATAATCGTAGAGAGGACATGGCGTTTTATTAATTCTGTCCACCATTTTTTCTAATTCTGATATTTCTTCTTACCCAAGGAGTCAAGTAGTTTACTGCATCGAGTATTGAAATATAAAAAGAAGCATACGTGATATCACCTAATCTCTCAGTCAAGTTTACCTCTTAAAGATAAGTGTAACTAATTTAATCTCACCTGATCGTAGCTTAGATGAAGTGAAGGAAAATAACCGAGATATTATGTAAAATGACCTTAAACAAACGTTTTAGTGGTGGTGGTTAAGCCGAAATTTAACATTATTCTATGATATCTTTGACAGCTGATTTGAGACACGTAGGTAGGAGGTAGGTGTAGCCTTCCTTCTTAGGGTCGTCGAAATGATGAAAAACTAATAGCTGGAGACAGTTGGTGATGATAAGGTTGAAAAGCGTTATCAGTAACTCAGATACATTCACTCTTTGTGATCAGTAATATCCAATAGAACCCTATTGTTTTTTCATATTATTTTTCATATTCTTTCTCCCTCACATTTCTGCTTATCGCCGTTCTTCTAAATCTCTTTATTCTGTTTTCTTTGTCTTTCTTTGTGTGGTATACGGAGTGTGACAACTTCGACCGTTGTATTTCTGTGGAAAGTTCTATATTGAAACCAATCGAGTAGTCAGCTATTGAGTCTCTTCATAATCAACTAGTTGAACTCATTTCATTTATTTATTTATCTATTCATTTAAAAAAAAATTTTTTATTTTTGATAACAGCTTGATTCCACACTGTATTTTTGGTACAAGTATGGAATTTTCAGCATGGATATCGGCAGCCCAAATCTTGCAGGCCGACCATAGACATCAGGTGTGCGTCGACAGGATATCGAACCTCGGACCATGTGCATGGTCGACAAGCGTCCTGACCACTGTGCCACCGACGCACTATGATCAGGTTTTATCACTGTGTATCCTTTCTGAATTCCTGTGTCGTATAATCCAAACACCCATTCCAGAGTGGAACTCATTCTACCACGATTATAATTCATTTTTCATAAGAACACACTCGTCCACTTGAGCAATCAAGCAGACGTCACCCGTATCTGAGTCATGTCGTTCGTTTCTATGGAGTTATTTCTCTACAACACTGATACCATTACACTGCAGACACCTTTGAATTTTTTGTCTCGGAAGTCGTTGCTGTTATTGGTAGTTTTAAAACCCACCTGTGGCACATCATGAGAAGTAATGCTAAAGGCGATCTGGCAGGAGTAAAGAAAATATACCACGACCGAATGGCACTGAAGCAACTAGCCAGACCGCTTAACATTAGAAATAAATGCTTACCATAGTCTTCGTTGCAAGTGTCATACCGATTCATGGTTAAGATTAGGGTAAGGTAGAGTTATGGTTAGAGGCAGGGTGAAACTTTCAACTAGGATTGTGGAAAGCATGCATTTGAAACTCCGACCTATATGACTTTCGTCTTAGTGTTATATTCATCATAAATTCAATCATCCATCAGAATTAATGGGTGTTATTCCTGGTACTCATACAAATTTTGTCGAAGCATTTTGGGGATATCTAGAAAAACAGATTGCAAAGGGATATATATGTAGCCATTCCTATTGAAAACTGGAAGCTGTTCCTGTGTAATCCATTTCTTAGACACATATAAATATTTACACATAAATATTACTAAAGCTAGAAGCAATATCGTTTTGTTTTTCATTCATTGGGAAATACAAAAACCTTCATTATAATGTTTTCAGTCCTAATTCTCACTTTTAATTTGTGGTTGACCTGACAAGGTAAATATTACAACGTTTGGAGTAAAATGGTGTATATATAAGTCCTCACTCAAAATACCGAAATTCAGAGTAGAATAAATTTATCCTTGCATTTATTCATCCAATAGGCGAATTCTAGCTAAAGGAAAAATTATAAAGGAGAAAATTCTTTTTTTCGATAAAATCATCAACTTTAAGGCTGTATATTCGTGCATATATGCATAGTAAACCGGGTGAGAAAGTTCCAGAACTATGTTCACTCGAGGGTCAAATTATAATGTGAATAGCAACAATATAAATAGGAATTAAAGACGTAATCAATACGAAAAATAAACAGAAGGTTCGGATAAGAAACATAATCGAATCATAATTATTGAGAAAACTGACTATTTGTGATGGTCATAGTAAAGACAAATGTTGAACGTATTTCTTTTGAATATATATACTCATTTTTTTATGTATATAAGATAAATGTAGTGTTATATTTTTGTACTAAAATCCGTATTACTTTCTCTTTCCCTTTTTCTCTTTGTATCATTTAAGATACTTAATTACCTTTCACAAAATGTATTAAATTTTATGGATAAATACCGATCAAAAGGTACTGGTGTATTTCATTTAGCAAATGGTGTATCCAGAAAAGTTCTCATCCCGCGTACATTTGTCATGCGTCCAGGTCTTTCACTTCTTATGGGATTATTAGGTCGTTTAGATGTCTTAAAGGTTAGTTAATTAATTAGTGCTGTTTTATTGTATTGTTTCAATTTGTCAATTGATTTTATTTTCAAGTATTGATTTTTTTTCGGGATTTTTGTTTGATTGCATGGAGGATTTCATCATGAGCTAACATCAGTTAGAGAACCGCTGGAAAACCAACGAGGATTACTGGACAGCTGTTTCGCCCTAGTTTGGGACTCTTCAGCAGTGTACGCACCCACCGGGGTTCGAACCATTGGATCGGGTCCCGGTGGCTCAACGGTTTGCTGGCCTGCCTTGCAACCAGAAGGTCCTGGGTTCGAACCCCGGTGGGTGCGTACTGCTGAAGTCCCAAACAAGGACTGGGCAAACAACTGTCCAGTACTCCCCGTTGGTTTTCCAATGGTTCTCTAACTGTTGTCAGCTCATGATAAAATCCTCCATGCAAGTGATTTTATTATTATTATTATTACTATGTTTATTATGTCTATAACCTTGGCATAGCCTATAGACATTAAAAGTGTGCGAGAAAATCCATTTGCCAACCAAAGTACATTCGGCAAAAATAGATACAGAGGAACCAGAACTTCAGGGATAGATAACTAGATGCGATAAAAATAAAATTAGGTGAAGAGGTAACGAAGCAGTGTCTTTGTAAAAGAAAGTAAAAGTTCGTTTAATGGCTGAATATTGGCTTCATGATATCGTTTAACTAATTATCATAAAAATGTTAGAAGAATATTTTATAGTTTTCATTTGTTAGCTTGTAGGTCCTAATATTATATATTGGATACTTGAAATAATATCACTCACATAGCCCTGAACCTGAATTCTGATCCATAAGGCAACAGAATAAAGTTTAGAGCTGTAATTCCTGGTTGCCAATGTCCGAAACAGGTTCATACTTCACTCACCCCTACTGTGTCATATTGCTCATATTCACCTTTGCTTAGACAGTGGCATTTTTCACCTCCTTTTATGGACACTCCATATTTACTAATTAGGAAACGATGACCGAATATTAGCATTTATCATTTCACTTTTCTAAGGAAAATGCCTCTGTATGTGAAGGTAATAAAGGAAAGCAAGTACACTGCGGTGACAAGTTTGATAACGCATTGATATCAGTTAGGGAGGAATTGAAAACCAAGGAGTACTGGATAGCTGTTTCGTCCTGGTTTGGGACACTTAGGCAGCCAGCACCCGCTGGGGTTTGAACACAGGTTTTTCTAGTTACAAGACAAGCTCGTAGACCATTCAGGTCCTGATTTCGAACCCTGATGGGTGGGGTGCTGTCGAGGAGTCCCAAACTGGGACGAAACAGCTGTCCAGTACTTCTTGGTTTCATAAGTTCTCTAGTTGATATCAGTCAAACCTGAAATAAATCAAATCCTTCCAGAATTACTCTTAACAATGCAGTTACTCGACGCAAATTTTTCCATTTAGTTGGTATACTACATACACTGGGGCTGACTGTTCGTAGTCCTCATAAATCATATTGGTCCAGTAATCGCTAATCGAGTGATTACGTTTACTTATTTTTTTTAATTGTATCTATTACTACTGTAATGCATCTGTGGCTTATTGATCCACGTACTCTAATTTGATTGCGTACTCGAACCTTATTCCGCTTACCGAAGTTAAGATAGTCAGATAATAATTCACTAATCCTTACAATATACCTGTAGTTCATCACCTGATGCACGTCGTTGCTCAATCGCATTTATTATTATTTCCTACTTATCTATACTGAATGTGATTTCTGTCGAATCCTCCGTCCGAGAAATACCTTTTTTTTGCATAATAAGGAGGCAAACATACGAAATTTAGTGGGAAGACTTTTCATTGACACTATTTTCAAAGAATAATTCACCTAAAAATGATTTATCTCAATAGTCATGTTTCTCAGAGTAAAAAAGATTAACTGTGAATACCCCAAAAACTTCAAGGATTAACATGAGTTTGAAATACACTTCAGGGATAATTTTTTCTTTAAAAAAGATAAAAGTATAGAAAAAGTGAACAATGACAAAGCAAAAAAGTCTAAGTACTTTTATCTGAAGGAGTCTTTTAAATCATGCTCTAATTTTACTTAGGCGTTTCAAATATTTATTTTTGCATATTCGTTCATACTAATTAACAATGTTGAACTTTGCACTAAAGTGCATCATTTAAAGTTCTCACATTCTTGAAAGACGCATATAAGAGTGAAAAAAACGAAGAAATTTAACGGAAACACAGAGGAGAAGAATGCAAAGAAAAAGGAAAGATTATTGAGGATTTTCAGAACTCATGGATAACTCCCACCATGCATTAATAAAAACAAAACACGTAGGTCGGCGAAGAGTCTCTTTTCGGCGAATCCATTTTCTTAGCTGTACAATCGCAAATATATATATATATATATATATATATATATGTTATTTTGACCTTTTCCGAACCATGAAGGAAGATGCTCATTAATGCGTTTGTTAAGCTGTCTAGTTGTTCGGCCTATATAGCTTACTCCACAGGAGCAACTAAATTTATAGATACACATGGAAGTGGCACAACTAGGTAACTTATCTTTCACTTGAACAATCAAAATTGGTCGGCTGGAAAATGACAAACAGAGGGTGGCGGCAGTATAAGTTCGTTTTATCGATCTCGATAATCTCAGATGTAAGACTTCACTAGCCACGTCCCCATTAAATTGCAGTTTCATGAACAGTTGTTTCTTTTAACTATTGTCGGTTTTTCTTTATTGTACCTGGTGTTCATGTGTCTCCCGGCAAATCTACTAGGATAACCCATTTAGACTAACGTATTTTGGATGTATCCTAGCTCGTTTTTTTAGGGAGTCATCTGTACAGATACGTCTTGCTCTATTCGTGAGGCATCTGACCAAATTGTTTTTGTATCGGATTGGTACAACACTGAGGAAATGTGTATATTGTCCTACAGCTGTAGGTTTTCTATAGGCATCTCTCTTGAGTGAACCATCTCTATTCTGCTCAACTGGACGTCAAGGAAATGTGGTCTACCATCACGTTCTTCTTCACAAGTGAAGATGAGCGATGGATGTGCATCATTAAACTTTTTTAACATTTCATTCTTGTCAGCTTTCACATCAAGAATAATAAACGTATCATCAACATAACGAAAATAAGAATCGGTTTTCTCTGTTACTTGTCTCAATGGACCATTTTCAATCTTGGGAAGAAAGAAACCTGCTAAAATTGGCCCCAACGGAGAACCCATGGCAATACCGTCGATTTGCCTGTCGTAAAGGTTGTTGAATATGAAATGTACATTCATAGTACATCTTAAAAGCAACTCTTTCAGACTACTAACCGGTATTCCGATGTCGATCTGTTTTTCTAGTATCTGTTGGCATATGAATTCCACAGTCTCCATAAGTGGTACATTGGTAAATAGTGATGCTACATCGAGGGAAAGCATTTGCTTCCCATTTACATTAATATCATCCACGTTAGAAATAAATTCAAAAACGTCTTTAACACTATGACTTACTACCATCTTGTGTAACGGTTGGAGGAGTTCACCTAGCCACTATTTTATATATATAAGTCTATGTAAATTAGAGTAAAGTCTGAAGAAGATCTAATTGAAAACAATATTGTTCGCTTATATATCTTGTTCTAATATTATAAATGGGAATATTTAAAGATTTAAAACAAGGCGTTTACTATCACGGATGATATAGCCAGACGTTATGAATTGGATTATGCGGTAGACAGTGTATGAGGAGTGCGAAGACAGGAATACGTTGTATCTATGAAAAGACTCTAGAAGATTTGGTCTCCACGGATGATATATGTCTAATGTCACACAAACTTGAAGATATACAAGCGAAAAACAACAAACTAGCAGAAGAAGCAGTTCAACAGAGACAGGACTTCAATAACCAACCAACAACAAAAACGCGCTAATTACTGTCAACGGAATAAATTCGAAAGAGGTCATTTACAGCGTTGTTCCAATTACAGGCAAGACGGATGAGGATGTGAAAACCAACCAGGATAAGAAAGACAAGACAGACCTTGAAATCAGTTTGGAAATCTTCTCAACTAATTTAGCATAATAAACGAAATTCAGATTTTCAACATCAGTGTTCAGTCACTTCTCCTATATGGATCCGAAACTTGTACTGTTCGTGACGAAGTGTTTCCAACAGTCAGCTGCAAACTTCTATCAACAACTGTTCAGATGGCGAGAAAAATTAGTAACAGAAAACTCTGGGAACGAATCAGTTAAGAAATTATTACTTAACAAATATCCCGAAAAAAGTCGAGGTGGACTGGACTCACGTTGAGGAAACTGTTGCGTGATATCGCACCGCAGCCCATCGCTGAAGTGGAACTCTGGTGGGAAGCGATGAATTAGGAGCCCGAGGGTGACATGGCGGAGATGAAAGCTTATGGTCAATGGGGGGGTCAGCTGAAGGGACTGCAGGGGATTGGGTGAAAGGGGTATGTGCTGTTAAAGCCCCTATGGTCTCACTTTGACCGCAAACGATTAGTGATAATCATATAGAATTAGTCGAGTTAGGGGTTAATCATTTTCTTCACTTCAAATATGTTTTTGATTTTGTATGAAATCCCCCCAAAAAACTAATTGTACAATAATCATATTTCATGTTTATCTATATTTCAAGGCTCCAGGTTCTGTCTACTTGACCACTTTTTCTCATCTGCCAATTCATATTGTACCGACAATAGAAGTAGATGATTATAACCGCCAATTCACCAAATTTCTTGCTCCTTTTATCGATTCTTCATCTAATGATAATAAAAATAATGTTGACAATTTTATTGGACCTTGTGGACTACTACCGCCAATGAAATCAAAAAATCTTGATCCTATAGAGACTGCGACTAATTTAGATCAGTCTAATGTCGATGTTGTTTTATCAGGAGCAGGTGAGTTCAATACCGGCTATATAGCTACATTAATATTTATCTTTTTTAAACAAATTATTTGTTCTACAAACAGTATAGACTATTAATTGGTTGAATGTGTGTCTGTCTGTTTTCGACATAGAACTTTGCACAAATGTGCGGCAGTTCAAGTCGCCACACTCCCTCCATGTAGCACAAAAGGTAAGAGAAAAAAGTAGAACAAATGCATAATAAAGACAGTAAACAGGGTGTGAGACAAAGGAATAGTAATAACGAAGAACAAAACAGTTTGATTGGAAATCATAAGTGACAAGGAGTGGATGCATCTGCGCCCATCCATTGAGAACGATTTTTAGCCATGTCACCAATTGTTTCCAGCTCTCATTGGATTTTACCGTCCCGAGGACCCCAGCCAGTCAGGAAGTCTACACCTTCCTACGTGGCTTAAACTAACTGTTGTAGATTACATTGACTGGTGAAGCCATGTTTTTGTTTGACTGCCGCTAGCTTTTTTCCAGCCTGACCATTTATCCGCTAAGATTGCCCGTAGGTCGAGGAAGGCGATGACTAGGCATACGTAACACATGTCCTAACCATCTCAGTCGATGTAACTTCACAACCTCGTCGATTGATTTCCCCTGCTTACTTAGAAATGAACACCTAACCTCAATATTGCTCACCTTATTATGCCACTTCAAACGGGAGGGAGATAGAACGCAGGCACCTGTGATTCACTCCTAACCAACTGGGTCAGAGGTTCAAACAACACTCGCCTACCTTCCGAGAATTGGACAGTCGACGGAATTAGTAGTGTAACGGTAGAAGATGAAGACTTCATAAGGGAATGTTTATTTTTGCATTGAGGTGTCTCTGCATAACGAAATCATGTACACCTTATCTTCAAATCACCATTTGCGCAGATCTTCCGTGTTGTGCTACTTCTGGTCTTCCTATTGTCTTTTTTGTGTTCCTTTCACGTTTCCCATGTATCTCCACCACGCTGTATCGTTAGCTTTCTCTGACATCAAATGTCTGTCTCTGTTATTTGGTGTCTTTATGCCAATGAACACCTTTTTATACATATACTACTGATAAATTTTATCAGTAGCACACTCCACAGCAGTAATATTATCTCAAAAGGAACAGATGCAGTTGATTATAAGTAGGATTTCCATTTTATCACTACTATTACTGCTACTACTGCCGCTACTCACTGTAATTTGAATATATATACATATTATGTTCTCAAATTGCTTCCGTGATTCAGTGGTAGAACGTTTACCAACCGTGCTACACGTGGTCCTGGGGATGGATCTCCAAGTTGGTAGTAAGGTCGGTAAAGAGAGAAGGTTGAGTGTGAGAATAGCGATCACTGCTAATGAAACTTTGGAAGCTCTAGCCTGAAGCCCTATGTTCTACTTGGAACGTGAAGAAATAAAAAAATGTTTTCAAGTCGGAATTTTCCTAGTAATTTTTAACATTACATTCTTTAATTAGTTGGAGTACTTTATCATGAGCTGATGTCAGTTAGACAACCACAGGAAAACCAATGAGGAGTACTGGACAGCTGTTTCCCCCGCCCTAGTTTGGGTCTCGTCATTGCCACGCGCCCACTGGGGCTCGGACCTAGGACCTTTTGGTTAAAAGGTGAGAGAGCTCATATACCATTGATCCACTGGGGCGCGATCCAATGGCTCATGAAGTCTAATTTCTGTCATTTCTCAATATGTCACCACCACTTCGCAGTGTCTTCTCCGCTGAGTTACTGCCTCACCTTCAACCTGCTGCACCTTACTGGTCCTCCAACTAATCGAACAAAATTGCCTACAAATCCAACACTTGAAAATTACATTCCCTACTTTAAAATTAAATAATTGTAAATTACCAGTAAACAGGATTTGTGCATAAATTCATCAATATACTAGCAATATAATCTCCGGTAAAAGTAAATCATAATTTTTTAATCAGAAAACTGTATCGGAGTACAAATACACCCAATAATAGTCAGTTTAATTATGATTATTGCATAATGCATATGGAGAAAAAAGAATTGTATTGAATGAGAACATAAGATAAAATGACATTCAACAATTGAGTAATGCTTCAATTAGGTGAGTTGTATTCCATGGTATGTATAAGAGAAAATATGACAACTACAAAACAAAAATAAATAAGTAAACAAACGAATGAGGTACACTGAATGCCATTACAAAGGATGACAACCAACAATACAAAGTGATGATGGAATACCATTGGTTGTGTATAGTGAACAGTAGTCAAATAATTAAGATATAGTCAATAAGCTCGTTATAGTCCAAGAGATGATGACAAGACATCTGAAAAATAATAATAAAATGGTTTGAAGCAGAATGGATGAAAAGAGGGGTAGAAAAAGCAGAGAAGAGGTTGTTAAGTTATATATATATAATAAGACAAAAATATCGGATGATTATGTGAGCAATGATTTTCTAGTATGCCAACTGTAAACATCGAGGATAAATGCATTAATTTTGTACGCATAAATTAGGTTTGTTGTTATTGATTCCTATAGTTTCATCTATGATTAAGAGAGAGACTTAGTTGCAGATTGTCTGACATTGGATTTTTCGACGATAAATTCCTCTATTCATTAAATGAGAACAGACAGCATTGGTTTTTTTTCCGACTTGAATATTCCTTTTCTCAACCACACTGGTACGTGAAGACAAACTACTGTGAGTATAGTGTATAGTATAACTAGCACGTCAGTAGCAGTTGTATACACACATTGATATGAGCATTATGGGTAATTCATCTTTATCAGTATAAGTCTAGTTGAGTAATTGACATGTAATTTTGAGGTCTTAAAAATCCCTTTAATAGATCATCTCAATCGGAAACTTATTATATTGGTAGATATGTCGGCAAATCGTATAAGACACTTCACATCAGGTGTTTGATAGTGAGAATAGGTGTATAAAAATAAAATATTCATTCTCTCCCGGCCGACAACTACCACCTTGTCGGGGTGATCGGGCTTGAATACCGTAATGACCCAACAAGGTAAACTGGCTGAGACTCATGTCCCTTCAGGTCCTACCATTTCAGGAAGGTTATCTGGAAAGCGGTTAGACTAAAAGCAGTTATATGAAAAAGAGAAGACGTTCAGCGAAGAGACTCTTTTCGGCGAATTCATTCACATAGCTGTACAATCGCATTTATTTTTTTCTTTAAAAGCAGTTACTACGGGGTTCATGGGCTCCAGAATCCAATCGGATCGAATGGCGTGTGATGAACCCATATGGGTGACCGGCAACCTTGGGAATGCAGCTCCTGATGCTGCTCCGCTGCCTTGCGGATTAGACTCCAAGTCAAAGGCTCGGGGGTGGTCCCTTAATAAAACCACCTGCTTCGGTCTGGGTGCCTGGGCAGTATCTCAGCCCTCACACAACGAATGAAATTTAGTGTGGCGCATCTTCCTTGGTCCCATATTGTAACAAGTTTTTTCTGCGTTTAAATAAATAATAATTCATTCTCTACGATAATTATGCATTGTGGAAGTAGAGTATGGTAAAACAATTATCAAAGGCAATCGTTCGATCATATTTCTGTCGGTTTTAATATGTGATGGGTTCTTTTTTAAATCATACTGTATAAGTTATTTGACTGATGGTGGAATTCACCACACACTTTCCCTCCTATTCTGGGCTCGTGTATTTTGAAAGCGCTTTTCACTTTTTTGTTCAATGCTCTTTATAGGTTGCACTTGTTTGTCTTCTGCTTTACCATACTTCTTTCCTATATCGATTTTCATGTGCCCGTAGATATCCATTCTGCGTCCTGCCTCTTCTTCTTGCCCAGTATTTCTATGTAAGTTTCCTTTCATGTCTCCTTCCGAGAGTTAAGGTTTTCTCCCTGATGTTACTTTATTCTTCCAACTTTTTCTTGGTGATTTTTGTAAAGATTTCCTTTGTAACTTCATCCTTCAGTTTCTGAGTACCGGACTGCAGCTGCTTCGAGAACTTTCAACTTAATCTTGAAGGTTCCTCAAACTCGATAGTGATTTGAACCTACATCTGCTCCTTTTCTCCATCTTGTATTCAGTAAGCCACTTCTCCACTTTCTTGAGATTGAGGTGATGTCTATATGACTATTGGTTTACCCATCTTGTGAAAACTACGTCACCTTGTGGATATCCTTGTGCTTGTACACGTTACCTCCAATCACTAAATTATTAAAGACATTGAAGTTTGCAAAGGGTTCTCCTTCCTCATTCATTTCGTTGAGTATCTCTCGACTCATGATGAATTCTCTTTCCATATTTTTTGTCCCTGGTTCGGCATTCATGTTACCCACCTGGGGGATGATTTGCCCATTACTGCTTTCATTTAGTTGTCTGTTCTCATTATCCGCGTTGTTTATACGTGCCTAGTATTATTATTATTATTTTGAGTTGGATCTTGCCGCCGTGATCATTATAGAGGTTGGTTTCCACTTCATGCAAGTCTTTTATGCTGCTGGTAACAACATGGTAATGGTCATAGTGTCGGTGTACTCATGGTTGACGTCTGAGTAACTGAAAATGATCATTAACTCTCCAGTTGATAATTTGTAAGGTCTACTTCCATTCTATCCTCCGTCACAGATTTCTAACACTTCTCTGACTTATCCTTTGATGTCTTCTGCAATATAAGCCGCCTTGTGAACTAGCCTAAAAGACAGTGCAAGTATTCCATATCCCTAGGCTTACTTTTAGTTTCATCGAAATAGGACACATTGGCCGATAAGCTTTGCGAAAGACTTCACTCACTAGTACCATCCATTCTCGAATTGAGGAGTTTTCCCGACTCCTGCAGAGGATAAGTTACTTTTCTTTGTATTTTGTAGTTTCAGTTGATTATGTAAAGATAAACATTTTTATAGTGACTTTTAGTCAGCATATTTATATGCATTGTTTATCATGTTAATCTTTTTCTTCCACATGACAGGGTGGATTGGTGTAACTGGATTAAATAAAGAGGAAAAGCAACCCTCAGAGGGAGAAAATCCGGAAAATTTATGCACTGATAATAATGTTATTATAAACCATGAAGATTCATTTTCCAATAGTATTTTACTTTTAGCCTGGACTCCTGGAGCTTTGGGTATTTCTATAAGGACACCATCCCTTATCCCATATGCTATTAAACGTCGAGGTCACCGCTTAAAGTTTTTAAGAGAATTTTCAGGTGTTCAACAACCATAACAGTGATTGTAAATATCAACTTCCTGTGAATACTTTCTAGCCAAATAAATATGTATATATGAAGAATGATGCACTTTTTGTTAGGTGTGTGTGCTTTACAAGCTTCGATTGTTCTTGATGTTCTATTTGTCATGCAGTGTTGATACAATATAGAAAATTCAAGTTTTAGGTGGCTGTTTATATAGGAGTAATTTAATAACCTGGAGTGCAAAATAACTAATAGAATGTGTTGTTTTGATGTTTCGAATTTCTAACATTTGATGATTAATACTGTACTACCGATTGGAAGAAAGCCTACCTTGTCAGGCTGCCAAACAAGGCCAACTCATGCTTCTCTCTGCAAGCACTAGTGTGGAGTCCACGCAAAGTAAAGTACTAAGTCGCATCATCCTGGAAAGAATAAATGATACACTGGATGCACAACTCCGTCCCACCGGAACACGCTGGATTCAGGAAGGGCACATCACGTGCTGATCGAATTTCAACTCTACGAATCATCATCACAGAACAAAGCATAGAATGGCGGACAAATCTCTACACCACCTTCCTTGATCGACTTCGAAAAGGCCTTCGACAGACAGCGTTGACTGAGGAGTAATTTGTAAAGTGCTTGAACACTACGGCGTGCAATGGCCAAGTCCTTACGAAACTCATTCAACAGCTGGTTATATGGAAATACGATTTGTCAGGTGATCCACAGTGGGAAACTCAGTGAGGTGTTCGAAGTGAATATGGGATTAAGACAACGCTGACTGCCTATTATCACCAACGACGAACCATTGAAAACCATTAGGTGGTGCTTGATAACTGTTTCATTCTAGTTTTGGGAATCATCGGCAGTACGCAACCACCACAGTAGGTTCTAATCCAGGACATTCTGGTTACAAGGCAAGCTCGTATACCATTCAGCCACTGGGACCTGATTCAATGGCTCATGACCAGTGAGGTCCATCCAGTCAAGTGTGAGGATGGATGTTCCACCGACGACATTGGTTGGTGGTTGCGCTAAGTCACGAATTGGTAGAAGCTAGAATTCATGATGCATTGGATCAGGTCCCAGTGGCTGAATGGTATACGAGCTTGCCTTGTAACCGGAAGGTCCCGGGTTCGAAACCCAGTTTGTGCGTACTGCTGATGATTCCCGAACTAGGATGGAACTGCTTTCTAGTACTCCCCGTTGGTTTTCCAAATGGTTCTCTAACTGATGTCAATCCGTGATCAACTCGTAAAAAAAACCATAATTTAACAATATTCCAGATGCTTCACTAGGTATAGTTGTAGCAACCGCACCCGAAGTATTCTAGTGTGAACACCAATAGGGAACCAATAGAGGTGCCTTCTGTGTAGCTAACCATACTTCCTCGAGTGACTCAGAATTCCTAAATGTCTTGGTGGTAGTAAAAGACAACTGTGGTAATCAAAGGCGCTGTTAAGCAAGTATACAGTCCAGCAGTTTCCCAAGTACAAAAGAAATAATGAGAATCAAATAGAACATTGCCAACAAGGTGGATCAATAAAAACTTTCTCAAAGAACTAAACATTTCCTGCAGACAGTTCAAATTCAAAATCCCTACGACATAACTTTGAATTCACCCAAACAAAATCACATTAGTAAAAACAACACACTATCAACACCATCATACAGCTGCAAGCATAACCATCAGAAATTGAGATTTAATAGGAGAGGGTAACTATGACTCACTTTCTGTTTAGTGATGCTCTTAAAATAAACTAACGAGATTCCCACTGTCCCTGTCTGCTACCTAACGAAACCATAGAAAAGGGAACGGGCTTAGCAGAATTATCGGGGAAAGAAGGTTTTTTTGTTTTGATTCTAGTCTGACTTTTTTAGGAAAAATAATGAATGTACGTAGAAAAATACGGATGAAGCTGAATAATTTGCAGCCATTGAAACAATAATATATGCAGAATAGGGAAAAAAGGACAGGAATTATGGAGTTAGTTGAAATACCAATATAAGCATCAATATTGTAAGGGGCTGATTTTCCAAACAATTATTCACCTACAATAGTGTCTAACAAATCTTTGTCACCTCTTTTGTTGAAATCTCCGTACTATAAGTTTGTCATGAAAAAAAAGCGCTGAAACACATGAAATCCTGGTTTATGTTTATTTTAGTGAAAATAAGCAGAATGAAGGCTGAAATACGCAATTCATTTATTCAGAAAAATAAAATCAAAACTAGGAGAAATAATTCGGTTTTAATCAGCTACGAAATAAACTAACCCATTTTTCAAGAGTTCGTTTGTTTCAAGTCTCACTACGGATTAAAATTAGTTAGAGAACCACTGGAAACCAACAGGGAGGACTGGACAGTTGCTTCTTCCTAGTTTGGGACTCTTCGACAGTACACATACACATACTTGGGTTCGAAACTAGGACCTTCCTGTTACGAGGCGAGCTCGTAGACCATTCAGCCACTGGGACCCGACTCAATGGCCAGCCTGTTAATTTCTGACTTCTACCGATTCGTGATTTTAAGGTGACTAGCAACAGCCAATGTTATCGGCAAGTATTTGTCCTCACTCCCAACGGCGTGGACTACATGGTCATTACTTCTGACTGGAATTCCGGGCAACTTCGTCTCGTAGCCAGTCACTGGCATGCATTAGATGAATTTTCAAGAGTTAGTTAAAATCACTAATTGGTAGGATTTCGAATTCATGAGCTGGCTATTGAGTCAGGTCCCGGTCTTACGAGCTTGTCTTGTAACCATAAGGTCTTGGGTTCGAACCCCAGTGGTGAGTGAGTATTGCCGATGATTCCCAAACTAGGATGAAACAGTTGTCCAGTACCACCTAATGGTTTTCAATGGTTCAAGTGGTCCAACTCATTTATATTAGGTTTTAAGCAGATCGAGAATGCTCTAAGTGGATATTCTTTGACTGACCAACTATCTGTTCTATAAATTCTGTAATGTATGAAGATGGAATTAATTATCAGGATTATTGAAATTATTTCAGTGTATTGTTCTTCTTAACATTAAAATCTCAACAGAAGGTATACTAAGATACTTGGAAAATATGCTTAGAGTCAACATAGTTTACATTCACACATAGATTATGCTGTCATCAACATCTCCACTTGTAGCTATTTTTCGAATAAGAGCACTTAGGGGAAAGACGAACTGAAGAGTGATAATTGATAACCTTAATTATACTCTATACATGTAGGGACTTTCTAGCGAGCTCAGTAATAGGACAAGTATTTGAATAAAAATTCAAGTTAACGAAATGATTAGAGTAATGATAAATCAGTACATATTTAACGAGATACACAGTCTACTACGTAAAAATACTGATAAAGTGGTCGATGTCCAGTTTGGAAATAAAACAATCAGAATTTGTCAACGTGAAATGATGGCAATATTTTATTGGTCATGATTACAGACTAAATGACAACCTTGGTGATAACTTGAATTATACATTATTGCGTAAAATATACTTTGAGGCTTACGTCGTTTTGTGTTCTCGTTTAATCAGTGCGGGTTAGGGAAACAGGTAGCTGTTGTATAATGCTGTTGGCATGTAGTCAGGCGGCATTCATGATCAGCACTTCTGTGTCCAGCCAGCATTGGCGTCCTTATCTCCGTCTCCACGTATTGCAAAAAACAACAAATATATATCGTTCTGTGGATTTGAACTGCAATCTAAAAGTAAGATATAGTGGCATATTTAGACGCGGAGAAACTGAGGAAGTCTACATGTAACACATATAAGAAGATTTAACTATTATACTTGAAAAAATTAAGTACGGAAAATTATTATTATCAAATAGTTGGATTTATCAAATCTATTTAATTGAAGGAGTAAGACAATGAGGCCTGCTATCACCGATGGTGTTGCTGATTCTAGGGAAAGTGGACCATGGGGAGCTAGAAGAAGGGCAAATATATATCGAACTGACAAAAAAGGCTCTAGAAAATCTCTACTTCGCAAGTGACTTATGTCTAGTGTCATACAAACTCTACTATCTACAGGTAGAAATCAAAAAGTTGGCAGAAGTGGTTGTAAAGACAGAAATTCAGGTGAACATAGATATGATGAAGATATTTAACCACAAAAACAACAAATATCGATCACTATCAAGGGGAGAAATCTAAAGGAAATAGTGTCTTTCACTTATCTAACCTGGGCAGCATCGTCTCAACTACAGACGACACTAACGAGCATGTCAAAGCAAGGATTAAATGCGGAAAGCAAGACAGACATTCATTAATTTGAAATCAATTTGGAAATCTGTTTCACTCAGCAAAAAGCAGAATTTAGACTTTTGAAGGCTATATCAAGTCAGTCATTTCTCCTATGTGGTTCAAAGGGTTGATAAATCATCAAAGGAATTTCTACCAATGTGCACCCTTTCATCAACAACTGTTTTCTCTCGATACTAAACTATGAGATGGTCAGTTAGAAAGAATTAACTACAAAGGACTCTGGCAGCGTCTTCGTCACTCAGCATCAGCAACAAAATTCGGTCGGATATTCAATACAAACGTCAAGTCAGTCAGTTCTTCTATACGGATCAGAAACTTGGAGGGCGGGACACAAAGAACAGGTATTTCCAACAGCCTGTTGCAGACCATCAACCGACAACTGTCTTCGCTGGCTCTATACTGAAGATCAGATGGCCGGGCCGGAAGGAATCACCAACAAGAAACTATGGGCACTAACAAACAAAACAAGAACCCACCTCCCAACAAATATGCAGGAGAAAGTGGAAATGGATTGGACACTCGCTGAGGAGGCCGCTGTGTGACATCGCGCGCGCGTCAGGCCATTACCCGAGTGGAACCAGGCCAAAAGGACAGCGGCGAGTGGGTCGTCAGTGCAAGGGTGACATGGAGGAGATCGTCTGAGAAGTAAATGAAAGCTTATGTTCAGTTGTTGACCCAGCTCATAACGACTACAGAGATCAAATCTCCTGCTTAAGTCTTATACCCACTCATAACTACTGCCTAATTTAGCTTTAATTTTAGGTTAAAAAGATAGATTGACGAGAAATAAAGGATATCTCTGGAATTCAATCTTTTTTTATTCATTA